TAAATAAAGTGCTCTGTTAAAATACCGTCACAGTCAAAAGCTAGAGAGATGCTATGCTATTCAATCTGATGGAATCATTACTTCGTTTTGAAATTGCTCACAATAAAACGTCAAAGCATTAATATAGCCTTGAAAGAGAGACAAAAATCCTGCTTCAATTAAGATGCACATTTTAGTTTGATAGGTTTATTCCATGGTTATGAGATTACATTGAGTACAGCTTTTTAGGGATATTAACTGATTGACGTCACCATTCGATCGAGTCAAAAGCACTATTTTGAAACTTATCTTTGACTATACTGTAAAATAGAATAGGGAACGCCAAAGCCTGAAACATATGTGATACGTTCATTTTTGGCACATTTTGTGAGTTTAACGAAGTTCATGGTGACCACAATTGTCATATATTATACGTGTTGTTTTAGTTGCCATGTTTATTTTCGAATGCCACTACATCATTTGTGATAGGAAATCGTTATATTTCCTCTAAAAAATCAGATACCAGCTGTCAAATTAGCTTTGTTAATACCAGGTCTGTGATGACATTTCCTGTGGGGAAAGAAATGAATGGCTTATTAATGCTGTCACGCAGTTTTGCGTGGGACTCTCTCTCACTTTCTCTCATTTTCTGCGGGAACACGCACATACGTCGAGACCCGTAAATGCACCTACGTTGTTGAACATGTATAACTGCACGTACGCAAACACACAATCACAAATCACACACACACACACACACACACACACACACCATTCTTACCATATACAATGTATATACACTTGTGTACAGTACAGCAAGAATTACTCCAATATGTAATTACATGTATATAGTGGATAAAGTGGAAGACACAAAGGACGCTTTATTGGACAAACAAATTTAAGTATAATACAAAATGAAAACTATAAACATAAGCTGTACCGTCTGAAACATATGCGTGCTTGGAGCCTTGTAAAACAAAACGACTAAAATATTTATCATAATTAATTTTCTGTCATCTGGGATTTGGTAAGAAATATTTATTGACATTTTGTCTCAACCACCATTTATTATTGAAGATGGCACATTATATTTGATTGACTTATTGGCCTGCAGGTATAACAATTAATTTGGTGTTTTGCTCCGCTGTTTAAATCACGAAAGGATCGTGATGTCTGGATTTTCATTTTTCACTTCATTAATTCTTAGTCTCACATTCGGTGTCCTCTCGGCTTCTAGTCAAAACAGAGAAGAGTCTTTCTTGAAGAATGAAGAAGTATTTTTTTGTGATATGGATGAAGAGCAAGGCCGAGTGACCGTATTGGATCGTCATCATACAGTATAGTTAATATAACAAAACTGTGTAAGTATCCCGCTATTATATTATGGAAACATTAACATTTGGTTGATAGCAGGCCTGTATTTTCCATTCGATCATAGTCGAATTGAGGCATTCCAGAGGTCTGTCTTATTTGTTTCTTTTCTTCTAAAATTCAATTTGGAATATATTTATATTACCCCGAAGCCCTCAGGAGATGATTTGTTTCGTCGTGTTAACACCTCTAGCTACAATGTAGCTAGGGGCCTTAAATTTGGCGCCAACTTCATGGAACGGAGTCAAGCTTATTTATACCCTGTATCTATTCATTTCTTGGCACAGTACAGTAACGACCAAGTCCGAGCCAATTCCAATGACGCCACTATGAGATGTTTAAATGGTCCTGCGACAACAATCTTGTGCGCAACCGTTCTTCGGAAGCTATTGTGCAGTATGTAAGCGTTGAACTCCAGTCATTTATCTGTGTTCTTATTTTGGTATTTTTTAATCTAAGTTGACAGTCAGTGTTACCCTGCATTGTAAGGCTAAAACCTTAAACAACTGATCATTACCGTTGTCGCTTTTACGTAAATTGCTCGACGTGCGTATCGTAAAAGACAAATGAGAGACAACTTTATCTTCTTTTGTCCCTTTTTCTTGCGACAAAACTCGACACTTTATAACTTTGTAAAAAAAGTCTCGCAGCTGGGTCAATTAAGGAAAATGACGTCACCAGGTAAGTACGTGTATTTTACAAAAAACAGCCATTGCTCCTTGAGGCACTCCGTGTAGCACTTTGATTGATTGGTGACGTAGGTAAATATATAGCTGACGTACATGGGCTATTTGGAGACCAGTACAAGTCATATCAGCCAAAAAAGTGGAAAATGCTACTGTGCCGAGTCGACGACTCGGGTGAAAAAGCAGCCAAGTAAAACGATATGTATCAACAAATCTGTTTAAGATGTTAAAATCTTCGTCTTTCAGGTTCGATGCCCGTGTCGTCCTTGTACTACGGCGAGCTACAGCGCCTTTGCAACATTGGAGTATCGCGTTGTGTTACATTTAATTGGCTTACACAGCACGGAAGGACGCTGCTTGTTTTGTTATGTGCAAGTCAGGGATCATCATTTTAACTGCGGGATCGCCAGTCCTGCATAAACAGCCGACCTCTGTTTCATCGCGTAAACAATTAGGATGTTTAGGCTTAAAGAAAGAAGAGAGGGCAACATACATGTGATGCCGATCAATTTTTAAAAGCCTGAGCAAAGAGTCCTGTTGTATGTGTGAACGAAACCATTCAATTCGCGGTATATACAGTATATCTATATTCTACGAGCAGAATAATCAGACCTTTAACTGAATCTCTAGCGTAACGGTATTTTGAATACCGTGTGTTGACACCAGCGATGCAGAGAAATAAGATATCTACATGTGCGTGAATCGGGTGTCATTGACCGTGTGTACTAGTGCACTTGGTTTTGCACGGCGATTTATTCAAATACATATATCTGTTGACTTTTGACGCAAATATCACCTATAGGGTTTTGTGCACAACGATGTTGAGCGTCACAGCTGGGAAAATAGGATATAAGTAACATAGATCGAGGGTTCAATTTACAGTAACTTAAAGGAAAGGCAAGCAAAGTTCATCGCTTTGATGACAGAGAAATTGAAATTACTGACGAAAGTTAGACAAACGGAGGTTAGTCTTTGCAAGAGGAATTACTTACAACAGAGTCTCGGTGAAAAGGATCACGTCTGGAGTTTGGATTGTCCAGCCAAAGTAATATATTTTTGTTGACCAAGGATACAATCTTTAGCATGAAGGAGACTATACTTGCACTGTTGTCAACACTATAAGCACGTCTCATGCTTAGTCATGGACTAGATTTGAAAAGATTGGTAAATCCGTGCATTCCAGTAGTGAATTAGTCTACGAACCGTTTGGAATTGTTCATGGTTTCGCAGAGAATTTTGTATCGAATTGACTGAACGGTGTGATATACATAAACATGTAGCATTTGGTGCCACTTGGAACGTAGGGATTTTAGAACGCTGAAGGCAACGTGGCTGTTTGAACTATTCTTTAATTCTTCATCATGATGGTCACTATGGACTTCACTCCACCCAGCAACATAAGCGGTAACGGGACAGATCGTAACGTCACCCAGGATCAAGATGGCGGCGATGTGAACGCGTATCAGCTGGTCACCTTAGTAGCCCAGGCCATCCTCATGATTGTGATATGTTTTGGTAACGGCATGGTGATTGCAGCGTTCTACCGCTCCGAGGTGATTCAAACTATCACCAATTACTACATCATGCACTTAGCCGTGGCCGATTTTACTGTTGGACTTTCCTTGCCTTTCCATATTGCCTGCTTTCTGAAGCCAGACATTCTGAATAATATATACGTGTGTATATTTCGGTACTCTACTCTGATGACCACGCAGTCGGTGTCTGTTCTTTGTCTCCTAGCTATCACCATAGATCGNCCGAGTCGACGACTCGGGTGAAAAAGCAGCCAAGTAAAACGATATGTATCAACAAATCTGTTTAAGATGTTAAAATCTTCGTCTTTCAGGTTCGATGCCCGTGTCGTCCTTGTACTACGGCGAGCTACAGCGCCTTTGCAACATTGGAGTATCGCGTTGTGTTACATTTAATTGGCTTACACAGCACGGAAGGACGCTGCTTGTTTTGTTATGTGCAAGTCAGGGATCATCATTTTAACTGCGGGATCGCCAGTCCTGCATAAACAGCCGACCTCTGTTTCATCGCGTAAACAATTAGGATGTATAGGCTTAAAGAAAGAAGAGAGGGCAACATACATGTGATGCCGATCAATTTTTAAAAGCCTGAGCAAAGGGTCCTGTTGTATGTGTGAACGAAACCATTCAATTCGCGGTATATACAGTATATCTATATTCTACGAGCAGAATAATCAGACCTTTAACTGAATCTCTAGCGTAACGGTATTTTGAATACCGTGTGTTGACACCAGCGATGCAGAGAAATAAGATATCTACATGTGCGTGAATCGGGTGTCATTGACCGTGTGTACTAGTGCACTTGGTTTTGCACGGCGATTTATTCAAATACATATATCTGTTGACTTTTGACGCAAATATCACCTATAGGGTTTTGTGCACAACGATGTTGAGCGTCACAGCTGGGAAAATAGGATATAAGTAACATAGATCGAGGGTTCAATTTACAGTAACTTAAAGGAAAGGCAAGCAAAGTTCATCGCTTTGATGACAGAGAAATTGAAATTACTGACGAAAGTTAGACAAACGGAGGTTAGTCTTTGCAAGAGGAATTACTTACAACAGAGTCTCGGTGAAAAGGATCACGTCTGGAGTTTGGATTGTCCAGCCAAAGTAATATATTTTTGTTGACCAAGGATACAATCTTTAGCATGAAGGAGACTGTACTTGCACTGTTGTCAACACTATAAGCACGTCTCATGCTTAGTCATGGACTAGATTTGAAAAGATTGGTAAATCCGTGCATTCCAGTAGTGAATTAGTCTACGAACCGTTTGGAATTGTTCATGGTTTCGCAGAGAATTTTGTATCGAATTGACTGAACGGTGTGATATACATAAACATGTAGCATTTGGTGCCACTTGGAACGTAGGGATTTTAGAACGCTGAAGGCAACGTGGCTGTTTGAACTATTCTTTAATTCTTCATCATGATGGTCACTATGGACTTCACTCCACCCAGCAACATAAGCGGTAACGGGACAGATCGTAACGTCACCCAGGATCAAGATGGCGGCGATGTGAACGCGTATCAGCTGGTCACCTTAGTAGCCCAGGCCATCCTCATGATTGTGATATGTTTTGGTAACGGCATGGTGATTGCAGCGTTCTACCGCTCCGAGGTGATTCAAACTATCACCAATTACTACATCATGCACTTAGCCGTGGCCGATTTTACTGTTGGACTTTCCTTGCCTTTCCATATTGCCTGCTTTCTGAAGCCAGACATTCTGAATAATATATACGTGTGTATATTTCGGTACTCTACTCTGATGACCACGCAGTCGGTGTCTGTTCTTTGTCTCCTAGCTATCACCATAGATCGTTACTCCGCCGTCGTATATCACATGCGATATCACAGTCTCATGACGAAATGGAGAGCGGCCGTCACCATAGTAGCGGTGTGGATTATTCCTATAGTTATGGGGGTAATCGTCCCGTTTCTGTGGCATAACCCATGGCCCGAAAACGAAAGTGAAAGAGATTGTGACTTCGGTAAGACTTTGTCACTCGATTTTCATAGGTACATATCCGTTGGGTCGTTCGCTATCGTCACTGCCGTGATGTTGACGCTGTATTCCAGAATATTTCAGGTTGCTAAGCGACATGCTGCGCAAATCGAAGACTTGATGGCGAACATTCCGGACAAAATGGCGTTCAATGTGAATTTAAAAATTGCAAAAACTGCCGCCATAGTCATCGGATTGTTTTTGTTATTTTGGGCACCATTCTTTCTTATTTTAACCACACAGGCGTACGGGAATCTCATCCACTCCAAGTTGTTAATAGAACTGCGTGTATACGCTAGCATTTTAGCCCTTGTTAATAGTGGTGTGAACCCTGTGGTGTATGCCTATCGTCTGCCTGAGTTTAGGAGAGAATTTCGAAAGATACTGCATCTCAAACAAAGCGGCGGGGCAAACTCCCCCGAGCATGATAACTTCTCGGCAAATGGACCATTGCCACCCCCTAACCCGCCGGTATAAACCGTAGGCCTAATTGAAATATAGAACAGGCAATTCATGTAATCTATTCGTGATTTTCCCGCCAAAACGAATTTCCCTAAGGGGGGAGAGGGAGAACTTTCTCCTGATCACAAATCATTGCTCAACGCGTCCTTACACCTGGAATTTTTGCTCATTCCATTTTTTTATTCATTAAACTTGTTTTAAATAAGTGGCCATTAGGTCAGAAAACGCAAACAGTAATACATGTACAAGTAAATGAACCATAAAAACTGTACGATCATCTGGCCTGATACGCAGGTGTTTATCTTTGCACTCGTCCTTTTATTTGCAATGCCACAATCTCAATTTGCAGCCCAAACGTCTCCACATTGTGCAGAAACGTTTGCCTACACAAAGAGCTGGCTCTTTGCCGCACGCACATGTACGAGAACAAATTTCAGGCAAACCGCCCGGTTAGGGATACTGTTATTTCATTATCTGCATTTGAATAAAAAATGAAAAAAAAATTCATTTACCTTTTGTTTTCTGTTAATCTTTTCTTTTATCCTAGTGTTTATTCATTTGCTTGTTTTTTAGTCTGTTTGTTTATTCCCTCTGTCATTTATTCTAGTGCTATCCCGCCACGGATTACTTTGTTTCCAACTCGAAAAACCACCATTAAATAATTTTTAAGAACCCCGAACCCTTAACTAACTTGATGAAAGCTATTGCATTGCCTCGGCCCGTAAAAAATCAATGTAGACGTTTTTTGTTATCTAAATATCGTGTGATATGTCATGAGACATATCAGCAGGCTATCAAAAATGAAAAAAAAAGTAGAAAAAATAAGAAGGTATAGACAATATAAAAAAGATAAGTAAAACAAAAAAAAAAAAAAAATAAATTACACAAAAACTACATGACGCGTCAATGCAAATGTGCAAACAAGGAGTGTCACTCAAACTGGAAAGTACATGTCTACCCGCTGCCTATGGTATGGAGCGACTGAGTTTAACTAGGGATAAGATACTAATCAGCTATGGGTCGCTACCCTCTCTACCAGGGCCGCAGTTATTATTCTGTAGACAATTTTGCTAATTAGCCATCTATACATAGGCCTATATGTTAATTTCTTGTGAAAAAAACAACCTGTGGCCCTTGTAGAGGGTAATGGGCCGTTGTGTTCCACTTATGTCGTGTTTCTGTCTATTATTATACCAACATGAAGAGAGAGACGCTTGATGGCAATATGCCCAGACGATGTAAGAGCCGGGAGAGGGGGGGGGGAACCACATCAGTCATAAGCGTAGGTAGAGAGAGAGGGTGGTTGGGGATCTAAGGAGACCCCCCTCCCAGTAACTGATCTTTCTTCTCATTGACAGGCTAGTCTCTTTACATTTGAATCGATAGCCTGTGGTTGCATTTTGCACCAAAACACATGGCTGTTCTGGAAGAGATTTTACATTACAGTCTGCTGTCATAAGCTGTCACAGAGAGCCAGTTTCGCTACCCATGGAAATAGACTTGATAAAAAAATTCAAATGCCGAATCATGGTAACTTTCGTGTTAACCATTGCAAAACAAAATGACCGACTACACTGCTCTGGAACATGCACAGAGAAAAGATCCATTGCCTTGACATAAGATTGCATCAGCGGCGACTTCAAGGTTTAGTCATACTTTTTTGCACATCTGGGCCAATTTTGTTTTCTGCCAGAGATGAACAAACTATGGTTATGTCTAAACTATACCAACACATATGCTAAATGATTATGATTAGATTATATATGTATATGTAGTATTAACATATTTTGATTGGGCATAAATTTGCTTTTAATACACAGAAACAAAGTAACAGTGCTTAACCGCGTTGCATTAGAAGACGAAGTAAGAAAACTAACATTTGTATGTCGCCTTTGCTATTAAGGTGAAGCATCAACTCTGAACAATCATATAAATATATATATATATATATATATATATATATATATATATATATATATATATATATATTTATATGATTGTTCAGAGTTGATGCTTCACCTTAATAGCAAAGGCGACATACAAATGTTAGTTTTCTTACTTCGTCTTCTAATGCAACGCGGTTAAGCACTGTTACTTTGTTTCTGTGTATTAAAAGCAAATTTATGCCCAATCAAAATATGTTAATACTACATATACATATATAATCTAATCATAATCATTTAGCATATGNTAGGTTATGACGGGGGACACCAGTGCACCCCATATATACGATTTGGGTTTTGTGTCCAGACCCTTATAGCACACCCCATGCGACATTGCTCCATAATACGCCTTGGTTGCAGAACAAATTCTAGCAGCCGTGTGGTCATCCGCCGTGCAGTTGCTATTAAAGGTCATACCCAGAATATTTAAAGAGTCCGTCGTTTCCATAGGATATCGACCTAAGAACCACGAAGGGGGTGTTTTTAATAATTCTTTTCCTACCGTCATACATTTTGATTTTTTGAGACTAAATTTCATTCTCCAGCGCAGGGAGAAGTCATAACAGATATTAATCAGCTCTTGAAGTCCAGTCACAGTTGTAGAAAAAATTGTTAAGTCATCAGCATAGGTAATATTATTGTATAAGTTATTTCCGATTAAAACACCAGCTTTTGTAGAGGATAATTCCTTAAACCACTGTTCAGATATACAGACGAAAACAATAACAAATAACATCACACGTTAACTACGACCCTACAGACCCTCTCTGTGCCAGCCTAGCCACATAATAGGAAAACGAGCTACGACCTACATACACCACCTACCTGGCAGGCGTAAACTTACGACTAAGTAAAGACTGACGTACAACTGTAGACACTATTCCAGTATTGGTGTCACTAGCTTTTCTAGGGAGTAGCGTTTTGTGCTGGATTTACGCCGGCGCAACTACTACGCCTAACTTACGACCGGTTGGTACAACCGGACCCAGGCCAATTTTTAAAATGTATCATTAGCCACGAGTTTTGAGGGACGATCCATACAATAGCTATCTCCTTGAAAACGAAATTAATGAACTCATTTAAGTAAAGATTTGCTATTCATCATTAATTAAACAACCTAAATGAACTTTTTTCATAAGTCATTAATGATGTACGTTTATTGTTAGGGCACGCTCTAATCAACCATATCGCGCGTCCGTGCCTTTCCTTTTAAACACTGGCAAACGTCTCATTGATTTTCCCCATGTCATTCAACATCGTGCCCTGCCTTGTGTTGGGATCTGTGACTGTATGTCTATCCGCCTGTCTCTTCTTGATCTTAGAGACCATTTCTTCATACACCGCCCGATTACAGACCAAGGACCCAAAGACGAAGACACCGTCAAGCGTCGCCAGGACAATAAAAACATACCACAGGGCCTCTGTGTTGAGCAGGGCCGCCAAAAATCCGAACGTCCAGTTTGCGCCCAGAAGGACAAACAGCTTGACGTATATGCCAATCGGGTGCTCTTGGCTTGTGTTTTTCAGCTTAGCTGTTCTGGCAACCGCTTTACGCAACAGCCTCGCACAGTGGATATAGAGACCAAGATTGGAGACGATGATGATCCCGACCGGCGACACGAGGAAGATAATGAATGGGTATTTACGCGATATCCAACACAATCCTATTCCGTAGCCTGGCTGGAATGCTGGATCCATTTCAACATGGTCGATCACTATGGCGATGGTTACTATGGCTACTGGAACAAGAAGAGCATATATGCAATACAGGATGAAGAGACGCTTCTTGGCACCGGCAGTGTTAAACTTCATAGCGGCCGTGAAATTTAAGACACGACACATGTCGATGGTCAATACATTCATCCAGAAAAAGGAGACGAGTATAGTCCAGTGCAACAAGATGGCCATAACTTTACAAACGCCTTCTGACGTCACAGCAAAGGGAGCAAGAAGGAAAATAAGTTTTGAAAATAATAACGCCAAACACAAACAAAGCTGTAAACGCGCTGGAAAAGTGGCGTACTTCTTGATACAGGGCTGAAGAATGATCCGTGCCGAAAGACAAATTATCGAAACACTCAAGCAGACGATGGTTACAAGTCCCATGGTGCCAGATGCATTCATTGTCATAGGTGGCGGTAATGTCTCCAAGACGCTCTCATTTTGCTGATGACCATACAAAGCGGTGATGTTGTTCAGCAGATTTGCACAGATCATTATGGTGCCATTAATGTCTTTATATTCATTTGACTGTAAAACCCTATTAAATGTCCTTAACTTAATCGTGTCATTTGCAGTCCATTTATAATCTGTGTCCCTTAGCCTCACGCGCTGGCAATCTACTTTCGAAAATACAGACGAAGGGTCATTCGACGGCAAAGAACCGTCATTCGGCAAAGGATAGCCACCTGTTTTCTCCGAAATAGGGGGAAGACCATCGAAAATAGGTCCTACCGGTACTTCTTCTTTGCCTTCCAAGTTAGGGACCTCGGGAGAGTAAACCTTATGAATAAAAATAATAATAAGTATTATTATTATTGACTCATTCTGAGATCACCACAAAGCTAGATATCAACCCGAAGCTGGGATACTTACCGCTACCGACAGGTCAGTAAACCTAGCTGAGCGTTGATCGAGTCAAAGGTGACCAAAGTACGAACAAAATCTACAACTTCATTTTTTACATAATTAAGAGTTTTTAAGAATTGATTGAAACAATAATGATACATCGAGAACTCATGGACGAGGAGTCTGGCTCACTCAGTTTACATGTAGATGTAAAATGTGTAATAAGTTGACTAGGAGGTCAACTACTATGATAATTGACTGCTCATGATTATCTATCAAACGACCGTCCAATATCAAAATACGTGATCATGTAACAAATGAAGTAATGAATACATTAGTAAGTCATTTACGAGTTTTTCAGGGTGCTTCGCTAACAACAACGGCAAACCTGTGAAACACGAGCCTACAGCCATCAACCGTATAATATAATGACCTTAAGTTTATCAGGGCAAGTAGCCTGAAACCGTGCAAATAATATTTAAGTTACCTTGTGTATGTTTGTGT